GATATTTAAATGTACCTGTGTGTGTGTCTACTTGTGTAGTAAAAAGGAGATGGCTATCAATATTTCCTTCTCAGAGGTGGGGCTGGGCAAGGGTGCAGGAGAGTTCTTTGAAATGACTGTTATTTTTATGTTGCTTACAATAATTGGATATTACTTCAGTAATAAAAATATTTTGAAGGTCAGCCTTAAGTTTGCCAGACAATTTAGATGTTTGAAACCTCATCGCAAACTTTGCAATTTATCTACATAACAGTCTAATTGATTCTCTACTAGGTTAATCAATCTATTTTTTCGTTATAGGTGCAAAGTTTTATTTACTTCAGGAGATGGAAAATGGTTCATTTTCTAAAATTATTTATAAAATTTGTTGAACTACGAGAGTTATGCCAATATGTCCTTCCCTTGTGCTACCATAAGAATTTGTACATACCTCTGCTTAGCTTTGATTTATTTTCTTGCAGTAATATGTCAATAGGACTGTCCTCAGTGCTGAACTTTGACCTCCTTGGAGAAGGACACTTTTGTTTTTCCATCACTGTATCTCCAGTACCCAACACAACATTTACCCAAGAAGTTCATTAACTGCCAATTAAATAGATGCATAAACTAATTAAAGAAAGAATTAAACCAGGCACAGTGGCTCATGCTTATAATCCCAGCACTTTGGGAGGCCAAAGTGGGCAAATTGCTTGAGCTGATGAGTTCAGGACCAGCCTGGGCAACATAGGGAGACCCCGTCTCTACAAAAAATACAAAAATTAGCTGGGTATGGTGGAGTGTGATTATAGTCCCAGCTACTCAGGAGGCTGAAGTGAATGGATTGTTTGAGCCAGGAAAATCGAGGCTGCAGTGAACCATGATCACATCACTGCACTCCAGCCTGACTGACAGAGTGAGACCCTATCTCAAAATAAATAAATATATTTTTTAATAAATAATTATAGTAACTTTCCCTGGGCATACAAAAAAAGTCTCTGTTTAAGGGAAACTGTTAAAAGAGAAAATGCTGTATTCATAAAATGATAAGAATACTGTTTTGAAGAACCTATTTTGATACTATTGTATAATGTAATAGCTCCTATGCTTTCTTGCTAATCAGATAATTGATCATAGTGTCGTTGCAATAGTTGCAATATTAGTCAAGACTGCATTATTCCTACTACAGATCATCTGAATCAAGTGTCTTGAGGAAAGCCAAAATGTATTAGCTCATAGAATTCGCAAAATCTAAGGAGTAAATTCTGGCTTCAAGGATGACAACTAGGGGACTCATATGATGTTAAAAAAACAACAGCAAACTCCGTCTCTACCTCTTAGTCTGTGTTACCTTCATTCTCAGGTTGACTTTCTTTGTGTGGTTACAGGTGGCCACTGCTAGCTCCAGTTGGATGCCCTAACCACCTCCAGGTTTAACAGAAGGAGAACTTCTTTTCCTTAAGCATTCTGAAAGAACTCAAGAACAATGTCCTGGAGGTGAATTTCAATCTCAGGGTGGACTCACTTAGGTTATGTCTTCATCACATGATGATAGGAATGGAAAGCCCTGATTGGCCAGACCTGAACGACGCGACCATCCCTAGATCAGGAGTGGGATCAGCCCCACCCACCTGAACTGTACCTGTACTGAGGGTGAGGAAGGGGTGATGCCCAAGGGAATTAGAGCATAGGTACCAGAAGAAGAGAGAGTGGGTATCAGGACAGCCAAGCAGCATACTCCTGCTATAGTGAGTGCTTGAGGCAGTCCTGTAGCATGTCCCCACAGCAATCTGCAGGTTGAGAAGAATGAATGCTATGAGGACTTTATTTCCTTGTTATGCCACCATCGTAGATTCACCCAGTCTCCCAATTTGCTTCACTGGGCAATGTCAGGAGCTGTCCTTTAGAGACCAGCCCTGTTTGAGATCAAAAGCCAAACATTCTCGTAGGACTGGTATAAAAGTTAGTAACATCCTCTTGGATAAAAATGTTGAAATATGAGTAAAAAGCCTGAAAACATTCATACCTTTATCCTAGTAATTCTACATCTTGGGATCTATCAGTCAAAAACAAACCAAAAAAATAAAAAAATAGCCAAAATATATATAAGGCTTCGTGAATAAAGTTGTTCATTGCAATGTTATTTAAAATTGTCAACATTTTGAAAACTGCAAATAACCAAGAGGCCTAAATAGAAGACAAGTAAATTATAAAATATACATATGATTATATTGTTGTTAACAATATAGTAAATATAACAACAATTGTTGTTAACAATTGTTAACTATATAGATGTTGTTAAATTAACATCTAGGAATTATGTCGGTAAATGACATTATATGGGAAAAATAATATGATATTTACCATAATCTCTTCAATATTGGAGGAGAATCCACATAATTTTTATGTCAGTAATTGTGTGCTTTCAAAAATAAGTACAATATTTTATGACAAAAGTAGAAGTGTCATACAAGAAATTAGACCTGTGCTGTTCAGGCTAGTGGTTAACCTGTTCAGAGACACTCGGGAAAGATTTTAAAGGTGACCAATTTACTGGTTTCCTATGGTCCAGCTGCAGAAATTATGGCCAATAGTGCATCCAATCCAGCTTGTCAGTGATGACAAGCAGCAAGCCACTTCCATTAGGCTCAAGTTTTCCAGCTTCAGCTTGAGAATAGATGGGATTTCAAGCATCTATACTGAGAGGTGCCAACGAAACCAGCCAGGAGCAAAATTACCAGAATTCTTGAACCAGGCAGAACCAGGGCAGATGGCATCTGAAGCACCTTCACAGAGCAGTGCCGACTGACCCAGCCAGAACTGAAACTGGGTACCATGTCAATTCCACTTGCACTCAGCAATCAGAGAACTCTGTGACCTTCGATCCTGGGGGAGCTGGAGTTGAAACCAAAACATGAGGCATAGAGCTGTCACAGGAGCACACTAACTTCCCACTCATCACCGTGAATTGAAGTGGAGGGTCTTAACAAACCACCCAACAGAACCGGTACTCCTTAAAGTAGTAGCTCAGAAGCCACTCAGAAGTTAAAGGAACAGTCGGTGAAAAATGTCTCCGTGAGCAGACAGCTAACTGCACTTCAAAATACTTTAAAGTTTATGAGAGAGCTAGCATTGAGCTATTGAAATTTACCATGTAAACTTAGGACTTTAGAAGAAAATTAGACATCCTCCATTGCATTTCTGTTCTTTGCTTCCTGTGGTATTTCTTAATTATTGGTGGGTATAACCAGCTGTTTTTGAAGCCATCATACTGGTAGGACTATTTATGTGAGTTGTAAACACCTATTATTTTTGTTACTGAAGGTAGTTCGACTTGGACTCTCTGTGTGAGTGGTTAAGAAATCTATCCAATGTGGGTTAAGCAAATAAGGAAAATTATTGCCTTCATTAGCTGAAAAGTTCACAGGCGGGGCTAGCTTCAGGAGTGGCGTGATGAAGTGGCTCCAGTACAACCACTAAGAATCATTTCTTTTCTGAGATTCAAGTATAATTAATTCTCTTAGGATATTGCCTTTGTTCTCGGATGCAGGGGCTTCTCCTGCCTTACTCCTCCTGTGGTCATAAGATGACTCCTCTAGCTCCCCCTGCTAAATGCTTCCAGGTCCACACCACAGGGAAACAGAACTTCCTTTGCCTAACTGTCAAACGTGGGGCATGGACTTATCATTATATCACTGGAATAAGATGCACTGACTGGCTTCTCCTAATTAGGACTCATTCCGAAAGTTCAATGGGTAGGAGATAGAGAAAGCTAATCCCAACCCAAACCGCCTGAGCAGAGAATAAGTAAAGGATAGGTCCCCAACGGAAATGTGGGGTGCTGCCTTACCAGACAAATGGTATGCTTGTGGACCGGTTCAAGCAGCAACCTACTACCGAATACAATTTAAATGTAGGGGCTGTTATTTACCATGACTGCATCTTCTTCATCTTAGGATCAGGGCTATTTGGTTAGTTGTTTTGACTATATAAACATGATAGCCAAATCTTTGTCAAATATTCAGATGACAAACACATATGTAAAGAGAGAGAATAGTGCAATATTGCTTGTGTTAAATGTATCAGATCATTATTGGATTAAATGCATATTCCAAATTTAACAGCCTGTACAACAAAAAATACCTGAAAGAAGTGTGATACAAGTGACTTTAAACCTCAGGGGGTTTTTTTCCCCATCTGTAAAATGGGAACGATTATTGCAAGTTGAGCTGCTTGTTGAAAAGATTACCAAGGATTTCTGTAAAGTGCGGTAATGCAATGCTTGCCTCATCAGATTTTCAGTAAATGCAAGTTCCTAAAGCTGCCATCTTTGTCCTAAGCTCATCATCAAAGGTAGCCTCATTTCTGATCAGCTTCCTGAGGTCTCTGAAATAACAGATATGGATGTGAACATTAAAGGACAACGTAGGGGCCAGGCTTGATGGCTCACACCTGTAATCCCAGCACTTTGGGAGGCTGAGGCGGGCGGATCACGAGGTCAGGAGTTTGAGACCAGCCTGACCAACATGGTGATACCCCGTCCCTACTAAAAATATAAAAATTAGCTGGGCATGGTGGCGGGCGCCTGTAATCCCAGCTATTCAGGAGGCTGAGGCAGGAGAATCGCTTGAACCTGGGTGGCGGAGGTGGCAGTGAGCCCAGATCACACCATTGCACTGTAGAGCAAGACTCCGTCTCAGAAAAAAGAAAAAAAGAAGGACAATGTATACCCAAACCCAGGGAATGGAACATTCTGTGATATATCAAATATCTCCCTAAAAAAGAATCATAAATATAATATATTCTGTCCCCATGGCAAACTCCAACCTTTGAATAGTGATGGTCTTTAGAGAGATTCCAAAGGCACATTCATACACAATAGGTAAAAATGTTATCACTGCTTAAAGATGCCTACCCTAAATGGAGGAGGGGGAGTGACAGCTCCAACAACATGCTTGCCACCTTTCCAAAACAGTAACCCAAATCTAAATGTCATATTCTTTCTTTGTGCTCGTGCTTTGTAGACTCTGGAAAATCCCAAGTATGAGCTGATCATCGAGGCTCAAGATATGGCTGGACTGGATGTTGGATTAACAGGCACGGCCACAGCCATGATCATGATCGATGACAAAAATGATCACTCACCAAAATTCACCAAGAAAGAGGTAAACCCCTGTGCCAAACACCAACCACCATTGTGGTCACAGCTATGATTACTGATTGATGTTAATTCATGTACCACAGCTCCCGCTGGCTCCGCTTTCAAAATCAAAATACTCCTTTGTGGGAAAGATGATGGTGTTTTGCTGGAATTATTTCTCACATTTTTATTTTGTGTATGTGTGTGAGGCTAAAATACCAGAGCACGGTGAGAACAAAAGCACTGAATCTTGTTAAAGTCCATAAGAAAATAACTTTTAATGCCCAAGTGCCATTTTCATAGTTTTATTGGTGTTATTTAGCAGTGAGTTATGAGAGTCCCGTTGTGATTTTAGCATAACAATAACTATTTTTTTCCAGCAAGTGCAGATTGAGAGGCCAGACGGAACAGCAGCAAGGAGGTAAAGCAGATTTCCTAGTCAATAACAATGTGGCCCAGGAGCTTATAAATAACAACAGTTAGCTGGTCTAGGAGAGCCATTATTTATTCTCAGTCCCCGTGCTTTTATGATTATGGATCATGGTTGTTTTTTCCATTTATTCCAAGGGAGCGATGTTCAGGGAAGGGCACAAGATCACATTCAGTTACTAAATTTGTACCCAAACCAGGAAACTGTTTGCACTATGCATCTGATGGAAATGTGGTAAGATCATGGCTTTTTTAGGGGCCAGGGCCAGAGCATGGATTTGATGCCTTTCTTACTGACCAAGTGAAGAATATGGAATAGGTACGATGGCCCCTGACTTTTGCAGGGTCTTTCCTGTATCCACCATGGTGTCTCCATCTGAGATGTGTTGCCTCATTTGACTGTGTGAGCCTGGCTTTGCCATTTTACAAATGAGCTTACTGTGATGCTCAGAGAATCTAGAGAACAAGCTCCAAGGTCATGGACAGAAAAAGTGGCAGAAACAGGAAGTGAACCAAGTTCCTGTGATTCAAAACTGTACTCCTAACTGTGGTGCTGTGCTTTCCTCATCTGCCATCAATACTTCCAACTTCCATGGTGTTCGGAGAAAAAAAAAAACTCTATAAGGACCTGCAGTTGCCCCAACCCTCTCTGGAGGAATCTCAAGGCTACCTGGGGTGGCTTGAGACAGGTAGATCCTCTCAACCTCCGAGTTCCCCAGTGGCCTTTATATTAGTTCATTCTCACACTGCTGTGAAGCACTACCTGAGACTGGGTAATTTACAAAGAAAAGAGGTTTAATTGGCTCATGATTCTGCAGGCTGTATAGGGAGCACGGCTGGGGAGGCCTCAGGAAACATTCAATCATGGCAGAAGGCAAAAGAGGAAGACAGCACATCTTCACATGGAGGAGTAGGAGAGAGAGAGCAAAGGGGAAGGTGCCACATACTTTTAACAACCAGATCCATGAGAATTTCATCATGAGACAGCATGAGGAGGGTGGTGCTAAACCATTAGAAACCACTCCCATGATCCAGTCACCTCCCACCAAGCCCCAACAATAACACTGGGAATTACAATTCAACATGAGATTTGTGTGGGGACACAGAACCAAGCCATACCAGACTCTTCACCTCAGCAGCCCTGCATGGCTCACTCAGGAGGTAGATGTCCCCCTTTCTCCCTCTGGTGTCTTGGGCACTCAGGATTCCAACCTCAAAACAGCAAAGTCCACAGAACTAGATCTGCTCCATTCTCTGACTTCCCATGGCAGGGTTCCTCTAGCTGCTAATACAGACTGCTCAGTCTTGCCATGGTTCCAAACCGGTATTTCAAGAACACCAGTTCTAATTAGTTCCAAACAATTCTAATTCATTTCCAAGAAATTAGTCCCACAAATTACACCACCGGCATGGGGATAGGAATGAAAAAAATATACTTCAGGGTCAAATAGATGTGGGAAACACTGAATTGATTACTTTTAAATGATTTATTTAACTGCAGGATTTCTGATTAACTTTAAAATGCTTTGTGTTTCTCTAACAGGGTTAGGTATGGTCTATGGGTTTCTCATTCTTCTTTGGCCTGGAGACTTTTTTTTCTAGGCCACCTCATATGGCTTATTGAGCTGGTGTTTCATGGACTGTTCATTGGGGGATTTTTGTTTATCTTTAGAATTTCTTTTCAACCTATTTCAAAATAAAAACACAAAGCACCTTGTAATATTCAATATAAACATAACAATGAGAACAAAAATAGGATAACCCCAACCCAAAATATGAAGATGAATCTGTGTTACCAACTGTGTGAGATTAATTAGTTACTTCAGTGCCACTCTGAATTTGGCTCCTGTGACTTAGGAAGAAAAGAAATGTGTGCTCAGTTATGGACTAAACACTGTGAATGAGAGACTGTTGTTTGTAATGTCACTGAATCCAAGAAATAATTTAACATGGACTTTAAAGGTTAGCCACCATTCCACAATATCATATTAATTTCAAAATATCATATTGTAAATACTAAAAGCATACAATGTTGTCTGTCAATCTTAAAAAATAAATTTTGAAAAAAAGAGACACTGAGTAGCATAAGGAAAATGTATCCTCCTGTGAATACTGGCAGAAACACAAAAATTTTCTTCCAATGGACATTAGACAATGAGCTTGAGGTTCCCAAATGGCAGAGCTGATACCTAAATTCATAAAGAGAGATAAATAATCAGATGAAAAGAAGTGATAACAAGTACACTAGACTCTCATTTGGATATTAAATGTCCCAAAGGAGTCTTTGCCCAATGTTTGATAAATTAAATTCGTAGTTAAACTTTCTATCATGTTCCTGAAAGGCTGATGTTCTTTGCTGTTGAAAGGGATTCCTACACTTCGGATAGCAACACTGCTGTAGGTAGTGTGATTGAGAAGTAAGGAGGGGGCGCTGGAGCCAGACTGGGTTCACATCCCACTGACCGCCATGTGGTGTGAGCATGTTAACTGCTCTACATCCCAGTCTCTTCACCTGTTAATGGGCTGATCACAGAGCCTGCCTCATTAGGTCATTGTGAATGAGCTAATGACTAAAAGCACCTAGATAGTACCTGTCACCCAGTATTCTCTAAAGTATAGAGATGAGGACAGTGGTGATGACACTGCTGATGAGGATGGTGGGAGGAAGGCCGTGATGGAGAGAAAGGTTGTGATGAGAAAGATACTATGATGACAACGATGTTTCCAAAATGTCAGAGGCCAAATGACATTCTTATCCAAAGGGCCACCTCCCCTCCGGGTTGAAAGGCTACTATTTTCCTTTAAAGTGATCTATGATTCTGCTCAAGCACTTCAAAATACATGGTTAGGACCCTAGAGTTCAAGGGGAGAAGCAATTCTGCTGGAGAGGTGGCAGAATCTGTAAAATGCATCATTATGAGATCAGGGCTGGGGACAAAAGCAAGAGAGACCAAGAGAAACCTGCTGGGGAGAGGAGAGCTCCTAATGAGGACCGGCTCAGATGCAGCAGCCTCTAGGATATGGAAGAGGCAGAAAAACAGGATGCCCTAGAAACAGAGAGGAAACATGGGGCTTACAATCTTGAAGTTGAAACAAATTTTAGAGATGAAAATCAAGGTTTAGTCATTCCAAAATAGAAATGGTGATCATTTGGAGTTGAGGATGTCCAGAAAGCTCTCAAGAAGATATTGTCCTATGTAAATTTTTTCATATCTTAGGACATTTCTAAGTTCATAAGAATACATGGTTTTGGGGAACATATAGGGTTTTTAAATGCTACCTTACATGACTTTCCCTCTCCAGAGAGATACATCTTTTTATCTATTTTTGAAATCTATATAAAAGAGGAGTTATGATTGATCACAAATAATAGAGCCTGGAAATAACACTGTTGAACAAGATAGAGGTATAGTTTCTCTCACTTAAAAGTTTGGAAGGGAAGGCTGGGAATGGTTGCTGATGTCTATAATCCCAACACTTCAGGAGGCAGAAGTGGGAGGATTGCTTGAGCCCAGAAGTTCAAGCCCAGCCTGGGAAACATGGTGAAACTCTGTCGCTACAAAAAAAAAAAAAAAATACAAAAATTATCCAGGCATGGTGGCATGTGCCTGTAGTCCCAGCTACCTGAGAGGCTGCAGTAGGAGGATCATTTGAGTCTGGGAGGTCAAGGCAGCAGTGAGTCATGATCACGCAACTGCGCTCCAGCCGGGGTGACAGAATGAGACCCTGTTTCAAAAAAAAAAGTTTGCAG